TTTTTTTTTTTTGCCCGGTCGGGCAACTGGACCCAGAGGCCACTCTGGTAGCCTAGATTTTTCAAGAATAAGTGATGAAATTAAGAAAAATATATTTTTCAGGAATGTGACAAAAGGGAGATGTTAAAATTTCGAAAAAGGATAACAAATTTTGAATAAAAACTACTAAAAAAATTATGCGAGGCATATGCCCCTATGAGCCCCATTCAGGCCCTGCCAAGTATCACGTCGGCAGCCCTAAGTGAAGGCAGGCACGACGAGGGCCCGAGGGCCCCTATTTTGGTCACCACACAACTCAAGGAAATTCAGGCAGTTGCGCAGCGCCAGTTGGTTGAGAAAACCCAGGCCCTGGGCCGCCTGAGTTGTGTGGACCGGGCCTCAGCCTACCAGGACGGACCTGAAGCTTCTTGGGAAAGGCCCAGCACAGCCTGGGACAAGCAAGCAGGCAGGCCACTTCCATATAGCAAAGGGCCTGCCTCCGCATTTGGCATTCGGGTGCTGGCTGCATGCTGCGCAAGCGCTGCTGCGTTGAAGCTCGCTGGCACTCACGCGCTCACAGGCGAGCAGGAAGGAGCAGGCAGCCATAGCCGAGCTGCGCCGCTGTAAGCTGGGTGTGGCGTAGGGTGGTCCTTGGGTGCAAGTGGCATCTGTGTGTTGGGGAACAAGGTTGTGAGTGAGGCGAGAGACATACCTGGTGCTGGAAGCATGCGACATTGGTCGCTGTATGCTCGTACTTCGGGAAAGCTGTTGTCGTCATCTTTCGACATTGTAGCCTAGGCTAGATAGGATCTGCCATCTGTAGTCTGGGCGCCGAGCACCAGATAGGATATCAACATTGGTTCTTCATTGATGATGATGATGAGACTTTACCAGCATTGTCAATTATGAGCTTTTGGTGTCTTCTTATTTGGTGAAACTCGTGATGCAATTTTGCTGTTGGTTCGAGGTCTCGACTATCTGGTCTTGTGTATATGATGCTATTTGATTGCTGAACTTCGCTATTGCTCATCTTCCTTGCAATTTGGTATCGGAGCTGTGGTACGATTGCGCTCATCTGGCGCTTGTCTTCTGCCTTATGCGGTACATACATGCGGTCTGCTTGGCGAGTTTGGCCGTAAGTGGTGTGTAGTGAGGAGGGCGGAGACGAGGGATTGGCGACCCAGGAGGTGAGGGGATCGCCAAGAAGGCTACGGTGTGCAATGTGGGTGTTGGACAGTGTGATGAGAACTATCTAATGTGCGATTGGTGCTGAGGTGGAACGACGTGTAATGCTGGGTGTGTTGAAGCAATGACTGTTCATCACAATCAGCATCAGGTCATCTGGTGAGATTATCTCTATGGTTGGGGGCAGCTATTTGAGGTACGTTGCTCTTAACCTTATCTACCCTCTTCGACACTTCTTACAGTGAGGTTGTGTGTTCCTTCTTGAGAGTCCTCTCATTGTGAGGTGTCGAGTGCGCTCAACCTTGAGAGTCGACAATGTTCACGTGGAGCATCTGGGAAAAGATGGGAGGAGCTTTCTCAAGGGCCCTGGACGAAGCACTGGGTCACAGTCACCATGCCAACCCACCGGGAGTAGAGCACACATGCTTTGCTGCTTGTCCTTTGTTCGGCTTGTTGCACTGTTAGATGGGTACTGAAGGGCAGGCCAGACCTAAGAGGGAGACGAGACCGGACGTCTTTAAATAAGCACCGGAAGGGGAACCATTGGTTGTGATCGTCGTCCTGCTGCGACGTAAAATAATTCTTGATGACACTTGGGGGCGGTCGTTAAATTGCCTCTGGATCAGCCAATGGTCGTAAGGCTCGCTGCACGCGAGGATAATCCAGTGCAGGGCTAGCTAGCTCAGCAGGGAAGGAAGGAGTAAGGAAAAGCTAGAAAGGGATTACCACCTCCACTTTCATGATTGGACCAGGATTGACCCCTCCATTTCGATGCGACCCCCCTCTGATTTCCCTGACCCCTTCCCACCGCCTGCAAACTCAATAGTTGAGACTCATTGGTACACAGGTGCCTAAAGCCGGTCCGACTAGTTTGATCATTGTTGTTTCTTTAAATTTTTTCCTGCTCATTTGTACTCGAGGTAGCGATGCAAAAAAAGGGAGATAGGGAGAGGGAGGAATTAGCACGTAGTAGCAAGATCTGGCGCCGGACTCAAGGTGAAGAGATTCCTCCTTCCTTCTTTCAGCTACCCTGCTCAGTTAATCCCCTGGACTCTAGGGTAATCAATGCTGGCAGGTATCTTCCTTAGCTTCTTTGAGTGTTTCAGAGTCAATTCAGACATGTTTCAAAAATCAATTGTATAAGGGACGTTGGACCCGTTTTCCAGCAGGTGATGCTCCCCACCAATAGATGGAGCCATTCCCCAGGTGCTAGCGGTGTCTGCTCTTATCAGCACCACTATCACTGGTAGGGATGTTGTTAAGGAAAAAAAAAAAAAAAAAAAAAAATCGAAAATTTTTCTCCTCTTTGGATTTCGTTTTGCCGCTATTTTTTTTTTGTGGTAAATCACAATAGCAGGGCATCCGAAAGTTCCGTTTCTGAACTCAAAACTTCGTTGCTGGAAAACCGAAATACTGCACCTTTCCGTTACTTCAAGAAATCCCGCGATTTTATTTTTTTAATTCGTCATTCTTCTTAAATTCAAAATTTTGCGGCATAGAAGTCCGAAAATTCTTTCTGAAAAGTTTCGATCATATTCCGTTATGAAAATTCCCGTTATTCCGAATTTGTTTTCTGAAATTCGTTTTTCAATTTCGAAAATTTTTCGAAATTCAGTTTTCAAATTCGAAATATTTTTTTTCCGGAATTCGTTTTTCAATTTCGAAAATTTTATGAAGTTTGTTTTTCAGTTTCGAAATTCGTTTTTCAATTTCAAAATTTTTCTGAATTTTTTTTTTCGAAATTCGTTTTTCAATTTAGAAAATTTTTCTGGAATTCGTTTTTCAATTCCGAAATTTTTTTTTCTGAAATTCGTTTTTATTTTGGAAATTGTCCTTTCTCGGGAAATTCCTCCTGCAGTTCATTGTTTTCAAACTGCGCATTTCTATCTCGGAATTGTCTGGACTTGCGGAAATCGTTATTCTTTTTTTCTGTCCAGTTACCCTCATCATCTCCATTTGATATTTTAATTCATTTGCAGTATGAAATTCGAATTTTTTTTTCTTTTTTTTCGAATCAACTGCTGAGGGGATACTTGAGGGGCCCACCGAACTTGCAAATTCGATTTTTTTTTTTTCTTTGAAATCTTTGCAAAAGTTCCAATTTTTTTATTATTAGTGGCTCCATATCTGGGCAACCCATTCGATTGCCCATTTCCCTTCTCTCCACCCCGACTCCTCATCCCTTTCTCCGTCCTTGTTAACTGCCCATTCACCTGTAGTTGCAGACTGGGCAAGTCCTCACTTCGGCAGGCAACGTTAGGAACCTACATCGCATGACCATACTTACTCGCTCGCAGACAACAGCGATGGATCAGAAAGCAGGTGAGTCTGACGAGGCCTGTGAGGCACGGTTGGCGGCCATCATAGCCGAAAGCAAGCAACGGGCAGAAGCGGCGGCGGCAGCACAGAAGAAGAGAGAGGCAGAGGCAGAGAGACTGCGTCTTCTGGCCGAAGAACAGCGACAGAAGCACATGGCAACAGCACCCAAGGCCGCTGATGAAGAGCGTGTGCGGCGACGCGGTCATATTCAGGGAGGAAGGTGCATTACATGCACAGGCCAAGGACTTGCAGAGGGAGGCCGAGAGCAGCGAATCCGTTGACTACAGGAGCAGGGTATCTCATCTGCTCAACCGTGTCACGGACCTCCTTGCGACTTGTATCGCGCAGAAGGAGGACATCCATTCCCTCGACCACACCAACAAGGTGTTGCAGCAGTCGGTGGACCAGATGCTCAAACGCATACAGCAGCTGGAGCAGCAGGTTGCCACCGCCAACACCAGCGTCGGCCCCTCCGATCTCGTCGACCGCGTCAATGTCTTGGAGATAGACGTGGGAACACTTAAGACTGCGGCACAACAGCTGCAACAACAGGTTTCTGCAGCGGCCGGCCCTAGCGCAACGACACGCGAAACTATTGCCAAGTTCGATGGGCTCCCGATCTTCTGTGACGCATCAAAGACCGACCCCATCGAATGGTGGCGCTAGTTTGAACTCAAGCTGGACATCCACCACGTCATCGACGCGAACCGGCATGCATACTTGTACTCCCGCTCGGGAGGAGCGTGTCAGGCATGGTTGGATAACATGCTCTCCGCACATGCATGTACAGTCACCGAGTTGCACAAATACATCACCTGAGCAAATCTCACGGCGGCGTGGAAGAAGCGTTTCCAAGTAGAACCGCCCGGGCACCAAGCAATGGACAAGCTGCTAACGTTTTTGCGAAACATCATGCCAAGCGGAGACTGGACATATGAGTTCCAACCGCTG